TTTACGAGGCTCAGAACTAAGAACATTACCATGTACCACCGAGTAGTTCACTGTTCTTCTTGCATCCTCTCATAGTTAGGTAGACGTGGTTAGATAGACGTCGTTAGGTAGACGTGGTTAGATAGACATAGGTAGACGTCGTTAGGTAGACGTGGTTAGGTAGTAGTTAGACGTTGCTGAGTTAACATGTGAATGTTTTTATGCTACCGTAACAAAGTGAGTTTGGGCTTAAACTATTGACACATTGCCGGGGGATAGCAGGAGAGGAGGTTATTTAGATCTCGTTACAGAGCATGGCAGAGGGGGTCGATCACAGTCCTGCGACAGAGGGCTGGTTTTGCCAGAAGTTACATGAAGGAGCGCATTACTGTCATGCGACATGGGCCTCAAAGTGAAGAAAACTGGCTATCGCTGAGAGATTAGATTTCCGTTTTCTTTCTTACATTCATTGCTGTCATTTAAGCACTCTTTGTAAATTGACTTTGTGATCACGCTAAATTAAAAGCTTTTTAAATGATAGAAGCGTTCAGAATAGTAGACATTGGATTCTGGTTGGAAAAAGTGGCAAGTGTGTTGTGGAGCCTTGACTAAGGAAGCGTGTTTTTGTTTTGTTTGCCTATTTATTTACTTTCGTGTTTGCTTAATAGCATACTTATTGTAGCAGAGCTTTTTCAAATCCAAGTGTAAAACTCACTTTTAAGTCTGCCATTCAAAAATTATGAAAATTAAAATTCGTCTTATTTCAAGTAAAAATCAGTAGAATGATGAAGAAAGTATTTTGGAAAGTTAGGAGCATAGCATGGGTTTTGTTTAGTTTGGCTTCTTTTTTAATTTTTTTATTTATTTTTTAATAATGTATTCCCTCTTAAGACACTTGTTTCTACACTCTAAATCTGGCCTAGGTAAGACACCTTGTCCATAAAAAGTCCAGCCAAGTTCAGCCTTTCTGTGACATTGGTGGGATTTTTTAGCATTCTTCTTACATTGCCACAAAACAAAATGTTACAGAGAAATCTTGAGAAGATTCTAGCAACTTTGAAAGAGAAGAGAGTTAAGTGAGTCTGGGGAAGTTGGCTAACACAAATGAGTGACTTTTCTCGAGCACACGGGACCAGAGCCACCTGAATCTGGGATTTCTCTATTTTCTCTGATCACGCCCCTCCCCAACCAGGCCATCAAACGCAGTTGGCTCCCTTTGTACACAGAGCGATGTTACTTCAGATTGAGTGCCATTTCTCAGCTCTCTTCCAAAAGAAAATCCCCAGACAGAAGCCGTTTTCACGTGTACTTCAGGCCCGGCCACGGTGATCAGGCAGGAGGCACCCCGCGCAGTACTGAGACCGTCCGGGAAGACTCGGGCCTTAGACCCCAGGTCAGACTGCTGGCTATGCCCAGCTCAGGCCCGGAGTCGCGTCCATCGTCCTAGCTGGCCGGAAGGCTGAGGCAGGAGCGTGGCACAGCCAGACCTTGTTGAGAACGTCTAACCCCCTTGTCTTATCAGTAAATACGTAAATAAACTGTTTAAAAAACATGTACACTGGTTTGGAAATTCTTAAAATAGTTGCAATCCTGGCTGTGGAAATGGGCATAAAATCATTGCTAATTGTTCTAATACAGATGAAGACATGATGTTAATGGTGGGTCTGGTCTCCCACATGCAGAGTTTCGCTATCTAGTATTCCAGTGGGCTGGCTGGCTCTCTCTCTCTCTCTCTCTCTCTCTCTCTCTCTTTTAAAGAGGTTATTTGCCTTGGGGTGCATGTGCTTGCTGGGGAGAGACAGAGACAGTGAGAGGGAAAGTGAGAAACTCCCCAACCCCTCAGGGGAATGACCGGTCCTCAATCCCTTCTCCTCCGTTCTCCTCCTGGGTTCTTAGGCACACACACAGATACATCCCCAGCGTGAGTTTATAGCCACCGGATCTAGGACTTGAACCCTGGACATCCATGTGGGAGTCCAGCAATGTAGCCACTATGCCATCTGCTGGCCCCTCCAGTGGCTCTTTTATTTTAAAGGAGATTCTAGATCTTCAGCGATTAGAAATCTGAACTGTTCTATTTCTGTAAAGTTCTATTTGGGGAAAAAATTTTAAAATAAAACAATTACCTTTTTACTTTTAAAATGCTTCAATTGCATAATGTTAGAATTGTGTGCATTTAATTTCATTCCGCTAAGCATTTTGGTGCAAAGCCCCAGTTGTCCATCAATTTACCTACACATGCACATTTTCCTGTGTGCTTTTAACAGTGATCTGAACCAATTATTTAGTTTTAATTTGGTTTGTGTGGAAAGCATGCCACAATTTCTTGACTTTTTAAAACCTTACTCAAGAAATAAAACTAAGTTAAAAGTGCAGACTTACAGGGAAATCGAAGAACTGCCAGTCCTGTATTTTAATGTACAAATATTTGTACTCTTTGTACAGTTCGTGTCTCGATGTTGCTTTTCATAATCCACGCAGTTGTTTGCAGATATGCATTCAGTTCTTTGCTGTCTGATATGGTAGCCACACGCTGTTTGAGCACTTGAAGTCTGGGGAGTCCAAGTGGAGATGAGTTCGAAATGCAGAAATACACACTGAGTTTCAAAGACTTTGTACAAACAAAAGAATGTAACATATCTTATAACTTTTCATGTCGATTACCTGCAGAATAATATTTTACACATACCGAATGAAATTAAATGTAATTCCACTTGTTTTCCTTTTTTTTTTTATTTCTTCTTTTTATAATGCAGCTCCTCGAACATTTTAAATTACAGATGAAGTTAGCATTTGTGACCCCATGGTATTCCCGTTGGACAGGGCTGACTTGTCGGCGTAATCATGTTTTAGAAGCAGCCATCATGTTTTCAATGGAAAACCCTATTGAAAACTTTCAACCATAACCTCTACTTCTCTCTTCTTAACATTTCAAACAGCGGGTTTTCAACATTACCTTTTGATTCTTTTGTTTGTTTGTTTCCAGCACAGTGGTACTTTTAAACTCCCTCTCCCTTTGAAACCAGTAAGTCCTAGGAATTTAAATAGGCCTCAGTGAAAGCAATACTTGAGCCTCACTCATATTTTCAAGCTAGATCATTATTCCTAATAATGTCTCTAAGTGCTTAAACAGATCAGCACTTCATGTCTTGAATTGCTTGTCATTTCTTTATAAAAATGTTTCAGGAGAGTGCTCCACGTGAGCCTTTCTTTCATTATTTTCTAGCAAAAAGTAACATAATCTTTTATTAGTTTGTTGGAAGTCAGGGAGGAAAAAAGTCTTCTCTATGAGCAAAAAAAAAAAAAAAAAAAAGAAATATATTTCCAAGTGCTGAGAATAAAGAGCAGAATTAGCCATGAGTGATTACCTATGAAAGTTAATTTTTAAAAATAAATCAGGAATGCACTGTCAATCTGCCCCTAGCTCTCACCTCGGTTTATTTCCCTCTTCTTGGGTGCGGGTTGTCATCAGCTACCGTAGGAGACCTGTGCACTTCGTAGAGAGAGGAAAGTTGCACTGCGAGATTTAATAGCGTGGTAGTCGTGGGGGCATCCGTCTCTTCATCAAGGCAATTCAGATCTGATTATTACAGAACTGTGTTGAATACCAAACCAGTGGGGTAGTCAGTCGCTGGAGCTAAACGAAGGGACTGTCATTTTTTCTCAGATGATTAGGGCTGGCTTGGAAGAGATACGAAAGGGTTGAGCTGTGTAAATATTCGTTCAGCAGAACAAGAAAAGGTCCATCATGGCCATTAAGATGCAGCTTGTTAGCTTGATGAATTTCAAACTATTTAACCTTAGCAATTACATCCCCCCTCCGCCCCGCTCCCACTGCCTGCGTGCCCGTGTATCAGTGCCTTGAGATTCTGCCTCCAAGGACTGGCATCAGACCAGATTGGTCATTTTCCGTTAAGATAAAAAGCAGTATTTCTGTGTCTAGTACATCTCTCAGAGGTCCGCGCCTGCTCTGGTTCAGAGACCTAATTATTAACTTGAGTTGTAGGCGCAGGTAAACACATTTCTCCTTAAGGTTTTTAAATTCCTTTACGGGAAGGATATATAACTTAACATTTTAGATACGATGCTATTCACATGCTGTGAATGTGTTCAGTTTCTATAAAGTAGATGTATATTTAATTTTTATTTGCCTATGAGGGCCTTGATACTATTAAATAGTAAATACATTTAAATAAAAGCAATGCATCTGAGTAGATATAGATACACCCAACCTAATGATTCAAGGACGTTTATTCACTGTTAAGAAATATCATTAAATTCCAGAAGGGCAGTGTTATTGCTCGTTTCATGAAAATGTGTACTGGTCAATTTGCTTTTGTACTGTAATGCTAATATTCCCACTACCTGGCATATTGGGGCACTTATTAAACTCATAAATAAGGAGAGATGACATAGAAATTGCTAACTTTGAAGAATGACCGAATCCCAAAATAACTCATTCATTTTAGGCAAGGGAAGGCTTGCTGTGCCATCTAGTGGGCACGGTTAGCATCTGACCATCCAGACCCACGGTGATTTCTGTTCTTCCTCCAACAGGCTGGCAGTTACCTGGGCTCCTCCCCTCTCAGCCCTTCACAAGTGGGCTCCTCCCCTCTCAGCCCTTCACAAGTTCCGTGCTCCTGCTGCATCTCAGATGGTTTTTCCATTTCTTCGTAATTCTGCCATGACACTGTGAGACGTTACACTTGAAAGCGATCACAGTTATCACAACTAAATCTAATCTAAAAATAAATCTAATAAATCTATATAAACTATGAGGCAGGTAAAAGTCAATCTATTAAGACAGTTTCAATGTTTAATCAGGACTAAGATCAGTTACGGAAAAACATAAACAATAAAAGCAAAACCCAAGCACACTCCTTACTAAACTTTTTTCCAGACACATGCTTTTCTGAAGAAATATAAAAACGTTCCTTTCTGCCCTTTTATATGTTAATGCATAATTTAAATAGCTATATACAACTTCATGTTTTTGTCTTTTGTTCTTTCTTTCTTTTTAGAGAAATCCAAGACCAGTGACTTACCAGTTTCATCCAAATTTAGATTACTACAAAGCCCGGGGAGCAGACCTCATGAATAAGAGCCGGTAAGTGCCCGCTCCCCGATTCTAGTTATAAATCGCAGAGGTAGTCTTAGAGGTCCCTGGGAAAGCTGACAGGTTCGCTGAAAATAACTTCCATATTTCTGCATTCCAGTGGCTGAGGTACACAATGAATCTTTGTTAAGTAAATTATCTAAGCTTTTTCTAAAGTCCTAAGAAAAGGGTTCAGATTGATGTCAGTGACAAGATGAACAATCTAATAAATACGAGCACTCGTTACAATCTCAAGTTCGGCAACTTCATTTTTCTAACACTAATAAACCTGAATAAATGGTGCCTACTTGTGTAATCTCTTTCTAGATCCTTGCTGTTGATTGAAAAGAGGCAGTTCTGTAACATATTTTTAAATTATTTCAGTAACAAAATTAAAATTGGGTTTCCCAACTGTCTTTAGAACTACACAATGAGCTTGTAAATGCATCTTGTGTGTGTGTTTGTGATTGCATGCATGGAAATTTTAAGGGTCACTGTAGGAATAAAAAAACATTAAAATCCTACTTTTTAAAGAAATTAACATTGGCATAAAGGGTTGATGAACAGTTTTGTTCTTTCATAATAGTATATTCAGATGTCTCAAGAGTTAACTTGTCAAACCAGAACCATTTCCAATTAAAATGTAATTTTGAAGTTTACTCTGGAAGACTAAAATGTTAGTAATGATAAATGCTGCAAGCTGTCCGAATTGTCTTCATTAAGCAATTTGCCTATATGTTAGCTTTTCTTCAGTAGAATTCCAACAGCCTAAATATACATTTATGGAGTATGTCTACACAGTGTGTTCTGCTGTTTACTGGAGAGTTAAAAATAAGCTATAACTCCTCCTGCATAGGAAGTCATAGTATAAGGGGTGAGAAGAAGTTTACAATGAGGTGGCTCAATTTAAACTTGAAATTTGAACCATTTTAATGCAGCGTTATTACAGAAGGATCCATTCTCGATTGAAATGTGTTTGTCGCGTGTGTTGACATCCTGCGCGATGGTTAGACCAGTTCCACAGCCCACCCGCGAGACGTCTCTGAAGCCCTTTTCTGTCTGTTCATTTCATCTGAGTCTTCTTTCACAAATAAAAAGCAATTCCCTGTAGTTGCTTGTTCGTTTAATTCAGCAAATTTTTATTGAGTGCCAGACTGATTATTTTAGGTACTGGAGATGCCCAGTAAACAAACCCGACCAAATACCCACCTTCCGGGATCGTGACAGCCCCAGTGGCTTGTGTTTCCTCCTCGTCCTAGCAAGTGTTTAGTTTTGCTATCTAAGTCTATTAGGTTCTTTATTTCTTTTGCTTTCTAGTTTATTTTTCCCAGAGAGATAAGTGGTAAGTGAAGTTAAGAGAGAGAGGGGGGAGAGAGAGAGAGAGAGAGAGAGAGCGAGCCAGAGAGCACCATCAGCAGCGCACTGGCGCCATCCACCCCCAGCCGCAGCCAGCCCTGGGTCAGAGGCACTCTCATGGCTGGCATGCTCAGATCTCTGGATGCGAATCCCAACTTTCCCACGTGAGTCTGCCTCAGAGACTCATGTTCTGCTGCACCATCAGGCCCCATATTCTTTCCTCTTTTCTTTTTCTCCTCTTTTTCTTTCTTTTTTTCTCTTTTTCTTTCTTTCTTTCTTTCTCTTTCTTTCTTTCTTTCTTCCTCCCTCCCTCCCTCCCTTCCTTCCTTCCTTCCTTCCTTCCTTCCTTCCTTCCTTCCTTCCTTCCTTTCTTTCTTTTTAAGTGCATTTGCTGGAGAGAGAAAGTAGAGAGCACTCCCCAGAGCGGTGGCCAGGCTGTGGTCCCTTCTCCTCTTGGGATTTTGGGCGTGCGTGCATGCGCATGGGTGGGGACTCCAGCCACACACTGAGCCATGCGAGATCCAGCCATTTGAACCACCACACCAGGGGCTGGCCTAAATCCATTCTTCCTACACAGTTTTTAGCCTTCTCCCCCAGCACCAGGCTATTTTCCACACAACAGGAGAAGAATCTTAATTGACAGCAGGTCACATCACGCCTCCACTTTAACCCCTACAAGGCTTCCTGTTCCATCGACAATCAGGCCTTCTTCCTCTGGCCCTTCCTTGTCTCTCCGACCCGACTCCCTCCACGCTCCCTTCTCTTTACCCCCATCTGCACTGGCAAGCTCCCGCTCCTTCCCTGGGGCCTCTGCGCTTGCTTTTCCCTCCTGCCGAAGCACTCCTACCACCGTCTTCCCGTGGCCCTTCATGATTTAGGGCTCAGCTCACACATCTGAGAGGCCACTGGATCTCTCCGCCTCCTCTTCTCCCCTGTTCACTCCGTATCCCATTGCCTCAGCTCATGTCTTCACCTCGTTCGTCCTCGTCCTCGTCGAAATCGCACAGTTCCTTATGTGTTTGCCACGTGTCTCTCCCACCTCTTCGCTATAATCTCAGTCCCCTGGGGCAAGTGCTCTCTCACCGTCTCACAGCATCTAGGACAGTGCCTGTTATAGGAACTATTTGTTGTATGATTTTAAAAAAAAATAGTTTCAGCATCTTTTTTCCAAAGAAAACGGGCTATACCTTTTTCTTTCTCCCTGTCTTATTTCCTTCAAAATATTAGTTCCGCTTCACATGCATCCTTGTGTGCATGCTGAGATTCTTGTACAAAGTATCATTTCATGATTGGAAGGAAGATGTCTCATCATCTCTTTTGCGATTTCAAAGCTTAAAATTGGAATTAAACCGAGCGAAGTGTCGTGTGCAAAGTAGAAACATCACAGACCGGTGAGCAGGAAAGGGTTAATAGATGGAGTGGTGAAATTGGCAGATATTTGAAAAGGCATCCGCTTGTGACCTAACACTCAGGTGCCCCTGAACAAGCAAATACCGCCTAAGATGTAAGTGCTTATCTGACCAAGAGTTACTTGAAAAATGTCTTTATCTTTGCTTTAGATTGACTAATAATAACTTCATGGTGACTTTTTAACCTAAAGTAATGGAAGAAATCACAAGGGGAATGACAAGTATTTTTAAGTAGCTGTGTAAAAAGTAAAATGAACTGAATCAAAAGACAGACAGACAATTGGGCAAAGCGGGACCAGCAGATGGTGTTCTCATCGCTGGACTCCCGCGTAGTCGACTGCGGTTCGAGTGCCAGACCCAGTGGCTTATAACTCATGTCGGGCACATGTGCGTGAAGGCCCCAAACCCCCAGAGAAGAATGGAGGAGAAGGGATTATGGCATGGCCGTTCCCCCAGTCCGGAGGGGGTGACTTCTTGCTTTCTGTCTTTCTGTCTCACCAATGAGCACACATGCCCTAGAGCAAAAATCTCTTTAAAATAAAATTTAGGAGAAGAATTGCAGTGCTATGATAAAATATAATGTCATCGCATCACTGTATGGTGAACTTCTGCAGCTCATGGGGAAACAGGAGAGCCTGCCCGAGGGGCCGTGCCAGCTCACACCATGCTCTGTGGCCCCTCCTCCTCTCCCTGTACATGTTCCGACACCCCAGGCCTCTTCCCCCTCTGACTGCTCATTCCTCTGAGGCGTTCAGCCCAGCGCGTGGCTTTGCCCACCTCCACCACCACAGGCTCGTCATCCCCCGTGCTCCTCCATCACAGTAAGCAACACCCCCAGTTCCTGGGGTGTGTCCTCGACCCCTCGTCTTAGCCAACCTCACATCAGCAAATCCACCTGCAAACCCTCAGAGTGTACCTGGGCCAAATCACCTTTCTCTCTCTGTGCTACTAACACCAAGTCACCGCATCATGGCTACCTAGTCCCCCACCTGCGCCCGCGCAGACTCTGCCACCCAGCAGCCAGGTCGACATGAGTCGGGGCCTCTCTACTGCCTGAGAAGGAAGTGCGGGCTATTTTTACCCTCGCGTGCACTAAAACGTCAGCTCCACGGTCTTCTCTTGTGGTGGGCACTCGGTGAAAGAATTGCACACAGCCAATAAACATTTAAAAGGTGGTTCGCCCATAATTGGGCAAATAGATGAAAATTATGACAGCAATAAAGTGCCATTTTCACCTTTCAGATTAACAAATTAGAAACCAATGAGCCAGCACTGGTGAAGGTGGATGGGTCCCCTTAGTCGTCAGTTGAGGGGCGATAAATTGAAACTGGCTTGACGATCTTGCCAAGCAGTCCCTCCGCTCCTGTCCATAGCCCCTGTAAACACCACAGTTTATTATCCCCCTTGAAGTTTTTTCATCGTGGTCTACTCCTTTATTCAGCATCAGAAATCATTGTAGAAAGCATTGATAAAGTCCCCGTTAGCCACTGAAGGCCTGATACCCAGTATATTCTTAGGGGGACCCCGGAAGCGATGAGGATGTGGAGTGAGACAGGAGACAGAGACTCCTGGGAGCAGGGCACTAGTTCCTGCACGTCTGTGGGGACTGACTTCCACGTGTGTTGCTATCCGAGTAAGGAGCGGGGATGCACACAGGACATGTGACTCCTCAGATAAGAATATCTCTCAAAATCAAGACGCCTGAGTCCTCTTCTCTGTTTACCCTGGATTGCTGTAACTACGTCTTTAAAAGCCAGTGCCAGGTATTTCAGTGGTAGGCTTCCCGGCACGTGTGCGGGTAATGTTCACTGCACTCTGATTTTGCATACTTGCACATTTCTTTTCAAAAATGGGAATTGACATTTTCTTATTTGACTTTTGAGCTCAGAATGACAATTCAACACTCAAATCTTTTTCTGGTTTTGTCCTTAAATAAAAAAAATTACTGCCATAAAAAAGCAAATGCATTTAAATAGTGACCAGTCTTCAGAAAGACCCATCTATTCTTCTGCACTCTGATTTTGCATACTTGCACATTTCTTTTCAAAAATGGGAATTGACATTTTCTTATTTGACTTTTGAGCTCAGAATGACAATTCAACACTCAAATCTTTTTCTGGTTTTGTCCTTAAATAAAAAAAATTACTGCCATAAAAAAGCAAATGCATTTAAATAGTGACCAGTCTTCAGAAAGACCCATCTATTCTTCTTTTTTAACTAAAAAAATTACTGCCATAAAAAAGCAAG